AATATTTACCAATGCAACATAGTTATCAAACATACAACATATATATTGTAGCAAGCACAATTTGGGTAAGTTACAAAATTGATAATAGCAATAGCAGAATATAAATCAAAGGAGAATAAAGAGTACCAGGGGCATGTCATTTCTCCATACTGGGAACATATTTATTTTAAACCACTCTCTCTTAAGCTGCCTGCATAGGCTATTCACAACCAGAGTTTTAGAACAATGTCCTATTGATGAGTCCATGCCAAAAGTGCTCTTCTTCTTACCATCTTATTAAGAGTCCCCTGGTTAGAAAAGCCTTTCTTTGGTCAACCTCTGGATTTCAGACAACTAGCTGCTTCTTTTGAGAGCAGTATGAAGGTCCCCTTCTGCAGAAGCATGGATTCTGTTGCACAACAGAATCACCCTTCTGTGAATTTTCCTCCTAGAACAGACTGGGCTCTGTGCTTCTCTCAGTAGAAAGTATCTGGAGCCGTTCCTCCCTGCTCCACATTCTTAGCTGGAAAAAATAGCCCATAAGCTATCCCTTTCATACTGTGGGCCTGTGGTGTGGTAAGTCTGCCTCAGATTAATTCAATTAAACACCTCAAGCTGAATCTGTCAAATGTCTTTTTTTTTCATGGGCCAGATTTATTTTGTTAATAGGATCAACATATGTTCTATACAAAGGTAACCATTAAATAATTATAAACAAATAATTTCATCACATACTCCCAGCCAATTTTGCATCTCCTGCCAGATACAAAACATTTACTTTAATAAATTTACAGTGAGTAATTTACATAAAACCACTGAAAGTGAGGATATTTTCAAAGCAGCTGCTTATGTGCTGTGATTAGCAAAAATCTCCCCACCCCCATTCCCACCCACACACACTATTAGTCATTCCTTTGAATTAATACATTGAAGGCCTCTGTTAAAATTAAAATATTATCTACTAATAGAGAGACAAATGAAGCTATTAACATTTAGCTCAAATTAGTTGGTTGAATTCTTAATCATTAGCAAGATTCTTTGTGAACAGAACCCAGAAGTGGTTAAGTTTTGAGGAGGAAAAGGAAAAGTCCAGAACATGGGCTGCTGCTGGGGAGGGAAGATGGAGTTGGGGAGCTGTTAATAGAGCTCTGGTGAGCCAGGGGCTATTTTAAAAGCCCTGGAAGCTCAGGTGGAAGGGAGATTGCTAAAACGTGAAGGATAGGATAGTTTCTAAAGGATGATAAATTCCATTAAAAACAAATATCCTTTATTGTCAGTTCTGTCAAGAGCTAGTTACCTTTTACTGGGAATGTCACTGATGAAAGTGGTCACTTCTTCACATTTTAGAAAATTATCTAGCTCTCTGTGGAGAGCATAGCAGGTGAGATTGAAGGATTCTCAAGGAACTTCTGACTCAATTGGGGGTTCAATTTGGTTTTTGGAGACATACCTTAAAATTTTGTTTGAAAATGACTAAAGACAATCTCACTGCACAATATTTAATTATGAAATGAATAAAATCAAACACCAACCTCAGTTCCAGGATCACACTGTTTGCAAGGTGCTTCCATCTCCTGAAATGTACAGATATTTGGTTTTTTATGCAGATAGAATAGTCTGTACTTGTTCTGTGAGCTTCCTCTTTCTTTTTATTTTTTATTTATTTTATTGTGATAAAATATACATAACACAATTTACCATTCTAATCATTTTTCAGTGTGCAATTTAGTGGCATTAAGTCCACTCACAATGCTGTGTAACATACTATTTCCAGAATTTTTCATCATCCCAGACAGAAACTCTATGCTTTAAACAATAATTTCTTAGTTCCCCTTCCCATTAACCCCTGGTAACCTCCATTCTGCTTTCTATCTCTTTGTTCCTTGCTCTTTTAAATGGCTTTTGAAAAGGCAATTCATGACTATTACAAAAAATTAAAACAGTACAAAACAGCATATACAATGTTAACTCTTTTGGGTTTTATTTTCCAACCTATGCTTCACCTCCAGACTATCAGTGTAATCAGTTTCTTGGGTAGCTTTACAGAAGAGTGTCAATGTATGCGTATACAGACATATACCTCTTCCTTTTTTACATGAGTACTAACAAATCATGCATAGTTGTTGTTATTGTTGTTGTTGTTGTTCTTCTGCTGCTTCTTCTTTTTTTTTTTTTTGGTACCGGAGATTAAACTTAGGGATACTCAACCACTGAGCCACATCCCCAGCCCCTACCCACTTTTGGTACTGGGGATTGAATTCAGGGATACTTGACCACTGAGCCACATCCTCAGCCCTATTTTGTATTTTATTTAGAGACAGGGTCTCACTGAGTTGTTTAGCACCTTGCTAAGTTTCTAAGGCTGGCTTTGAACTCTCCATCCTCCTGCCTCAGCCTCCCAAGCTGCTGGGATTATAAGTGTGCCATTGTGTCTGGCAATGCATGCATAGTTCTTTGCTGTTTTTATTTAACAATACCATATATACTCTAATACATACACACATCCAATGTATGCATATGCATATATGTGATTGTTTTTAGCAACTACATAATTTATTTATCTGCTCTGTTATGGTGAGATCAACAGACTTCTCACCCATTAACATTTTTTTTTTTTTTTTAGTACTAGGGATTGAGCCCAGGGTATTGCATGTGCTAGGCAAATGTTCTACTATTGAACTATTTTGAGATACCCTCACCAAGTTGCCCAGGCTGGCCTCCATCTTGGGATGCTCCTGCCTTGGTCACCTGAGTAGCTGGGATACAGGTGTGCACCACCATATCTAGCCTGACTCATTAACTTTTTAAAAAGCAATTAACTTTTTTATTGAGGCAAAAAAACACATAACATAAAATTTACCCTTTGAACAATTTCCAAGTACACAGTACAATATTGTCAAGTGCATGCATATTGTGCAACAAATCCCCAGAACTGCCCCCATCCTGCATGACTGAAACTCTACACTCATCAAACAACAATTTTCATGCCCCCACGCCCTAGCCTCTGGCAACCACCATTCTAATTTCTGTTTCTATGAATCTGATTTATTTTATCTTTTTAGACTCCTCATATGAGTAGAATTATTCAATATTTGTCTTTTTTGATTGGCTTATTTGATGTAGCATAAAGTTCATCTATATTGTATCATGTGACAGGATTTCCTTCTTTTTAAAGGCTGAATAGTATTCCGTGGCATGTATATATCAGATTTTCCTTATGCATTAATCTGTTGATGAATACTTAGATGATTTTCATTTCTTCGATATTTTGAATAGTACTGAAATAAACATGGGAGTGAAGTTGTCGCTTCTATTTTAGAGAAGGATCCATGTGCTGCTGAGAAGAAAGTGTATTCAGTCAAGATGTCTCTTCTATATACAGATCTCATTTCTTTTGGGTACATACTCAGAAGTGGATTTGCTGGATCATATGGTAATTTTATTTTTAACTTTTTGAGGAGACTCCATATTGTTTTCTATAGTGGCTACACCAATTTAAAATCCCTTACATAGTGACTGAACCATTTTTCAACAGTGTGCAAAGGTTCCAATTTCTCTACAACCTTGTCAGCATTTATTATTTTCACTTTTTAATATAATGGCCATCCTAATAGGAGTGAGATGAAATCTCATTGTGATTAGTGATGTTGAACATCTTATCACATACTTGTTGGCCATTCATTTCTCTTCTTTAGAAAAAATGCCTATCCTTTGCCAATTTTTAGTGTTTTTGATTGAGTTCTAGAAGTTCTTTATATATTCTGAATACTAATTCCTTATCAGATATATGGTTTGCAAATATTTTCTGCCATTCTGTACAGATGTTTTTAAGTTGCATGCTGTCCCTTTTCACTCTGTTGATTGTGTTCTTTGTTGTACAGATGTTTTTAAGTTGCATGTAGTCCCATTGTTTATTTTTTGCCTTTGTTGCCTGTGTTTTTGGTGTGACTCATTAACTTTTACTTCTCCTAGGGCTGGACTTTCATCAGGGTAGCTTGGTTGTGATTTTTGCCTTTGTTTCCACCTCAGTGCTCTCCAGCACATTGTTTAACAGGGGTGTTGGCTGAATACTATTGGTTCCCTGACAGGATACACCCAGAGCTACCTTAATTTTTCTGGACTTGTTCCCATACACAATAATGGAAGGCTTAACTGAGAGGGATTGTTTCCTCCCATTTTATGGCTTCTTTTCCCTTCTCACCTTTTGATCCTTATTAGAAATAGTCTTTTCTGGGGCTTCCTCCTCCTTTCCTCTCTCATTCACCTTGTGAGTGGGGCGGTGGTCTCTGAGCCAATGAAAGGTCAGCAGACAGGCCGACTCCAGACCAATGGGAGGCTCCGGGGTTCCAAATGGACCAATCAGCTTTTTAGGGATATTGTATACCTGGATAGCTAGCATCTGCCCCATTGTCCTCCTTGTAATGACCCTCTTGTTTTGCTCATCAAGGATTTTAAGATGCAAAAAACTCCCCTACCCACACACACACTCTCTGATAGCTTTAATACATCTGCATAACTTCTGCCCAAGGCCAATGTTACAGAGCCATTCTCCCTTTGTAAAAAGAAAGAGGGGTTGGGTTTCCTTCAATTGTCTGCCCTTTTCTGTCTCCTCCACTATTTTTGTTTTACTCTGTAGTTAACTTTGCATAGAGGAGCTTCGTTGGGAGGACCTGTTCGATGGACCCAGATACTCTCTTCTCATTGGCGGGTGCAACGGCCTTTTCCTTGTTCTAACCTGGGGGTTTGTGGGGCGAGGGGGCTGGTGGGTGGGAGAAGAGTTTGGCCATAGTCTTCCTTCTTCATTTCACACACATTCTGCGCTCTTCCCCTCTCTCTCTCTCTCTCTCTCTCTCTCACACACACACACACACACACACACACACACACACGCCCGCCGCTCGGGCCCCTCTCCGTGTGTCTTCGTTCAAGATGACAGGGCGCTGGAGAAAAGGCTGCTGGAATCAGCTGGTAGGTACAGTAGTAACCCGAACCCCACCCACCCTCTGTCTTTGCTTGCTCAGGTTTCTCCGGTCACTCCTGCCAGGGGAGAAAACATGTAAACGCGTCTCAAGAGGAGGGGCTGGGGGAGCTGGGAGTGGCGGTGGCGGTGGAAGGTGAGCCCAGGAAGGTGGCCCAGCGCCCCTTCTGCCGGGGCCCCTCCCAGTGCTCCCTTGGGGTGTCAGCCTCAGCCCTGTATGCTCCCACTCCACCCCCCTTTTCGAAGGGATTGCCTTTTTTTTTTTTTCCCTCTGCGGCGGCGGAAATGACAGTGGTGCTGCTGTAGTGTCATGGTGCTGCCCCTGGACTGAGGGGCGAAAACTCTTAAGTTTAGCCCGGGAGATCCAGCCGCGGTAGCGTCACTATTGCCGTGCAGTCCCCTGCGGGGCGCGCAGGCTGGCGGATTCTGCTGGCTGCGCGGCGGCGGCAGCAGCTGAGCGGAGGCAGCGAAGGCGAAGGCGAAGGCGGGCGGCGGCCTAGAGCTGTGGTGGCGGCGGCAGCGAAGGCGGCCCGGGAGCTCGCGCCAGAGCCCGAGCCAGCTTGCTGCGGAGGCAGGCGGGCGCCCAGCGCTCTTGAGCGCGCGTAGGAGATGGCTGGCACACGCGAACGCTATGGGTAAAATGCGCCCCCTCGCCGCGGCCCTGGGGGTCCAGTGTAGCCGTCCGCGCAGGGCTCGGCCCGGGTTCCGGCTACTCCTCAGGTGCCACTGGGGCCCGGAGCTGGGCAAGGTCTCCCGGGTCAGCAGAAAGGGGTGACGGGGCCCGTGAAGCCCGGGCCGGCAGCAACAGGGACGGACCCTGGCCTGTCTCTGGCTCCTGCCGCTGCCCTCCTGGGACGGTGTTAGCACTCCTGGGTGCCGGGCGGGGGTGGCTGGAGGCCTCCCCGGGGCCGGGTGGTGCGGGGCAGAGCAGTTGAGCTGCTCTCCCCGGCGCCTGGGCGTGAGTCTGGGAAAGGGCACTGCTGCCTTCCCACGCTCTCGCGGCCAGTAGCCTCTTCAGCCCGGGCGGCGCCCCTGGGTCGGCTGTCTGACCAGCGGTGCTGGCGCAGCAGCCTGTGATGCTGCGGACACCCTCTCGGCGGGGAGGCCTGGCGAAACTTAATCCTTTTCCAGCCAGGGGAGCGATCCTGATCCTCGAGTCTCGTCTGGGTGGTTCCTTATTTCTGGCCTAGCTGTGAAACCAGCTCTGTGGGGGAGAGGGAAAACTTACATATGTCCACAGGACAGACTGCGACTGAACCGGGGGAAGGTGGGGATTTCCATTTCTGGCTCGTGAGAATTAAGTAAATAACGGCAGAGTAGATTTACAGAAACATTACTGGTGATGGTCCGGTTTAGCACTTAGTGTGCAACACACTATTTTCAGAGGCATTTCTTCTTAGAGCAACAAATTGGGGTGCCTGGGTTCATTGGGCTTTCCTCTCTCTTTCTCTCTCTCCCCCCTCTCCCCTCTCCTCTCCTCTCCTCTTCTTCCTCCCCACTCTCTCCTCTTCCTATCTCTCCTTCTTCCGCTTCTTCTTCCTGTCCCTCTCTGTCTCCCCCACCCATTTTCAAGATCACTCACTTTATTCCTGCCTTGCAACACCTACTTACTCAAACCTCCCACCAGAGCCCCTCATCCCCAGCCTTTCTCCATCACCCTGTGCACTCCCAGCCATATGGCTTCTTGTTTCTCAACCACGTTGCCTTTTTTGAGCATTTCTGATTGTGGGATGGGTGGATGGTTATGGTTGCATGTCTTTGAAGAGGAACCCTTATGAAAGAATATCTTGAAAGCAGCAAATAGATAAGTACACTATGGGGATTAATACATGTGATTCTTAAGTTGGGCCTTTAACCTCATTCTTTTACATCCCTGTACTCCAATCAGTCTCTCTGGCAATGTTCCAATAGAAGGGGGTTGCCAATTTTGGAGTCCCCCTCCTCTACTTCTCTTCTGTTTGGGAGTAGTTTTGCTTTATCCCAGATGATTACCCCCATACACCCCTCTATTGCTTGTACACTCACACTGCCCTGAGGGAGGGAGAGTCTTTGCTATTTTTATATATTCCTGCCCAATTAACTTAATACAGATATATAATGTGAATTAGATTTCTCCTGATTGTTCCTCACAACTTGATTTATGTGGTTGAAATACAGGTCTAGGAGCCAAGAAGATCAGAGAGTTCATCCCAAATCTGATATTGCATTGGCTTTATGGCCTTAGGACATTCCTATGACCTTTCTTTCATAGTTGGTTACTTGTATAAAAGGCACAATATTGTGTACTGGGTATTGTGAGTCTTGGCTTGGTCCTTTGAAGATGAAAGGATTCTATAAATCCTCAGTATTCTACTTCTCAAAGAAAGCACTTCATTTACCTTTTATGGGGTTAGTGGACTGACTGGGTATAAGTAGGGACCCTAGTTTACCAAAATATTAATTTGCCATTATTAGTTCCCTGGGATTCAAGTCTATCATTGTACTTAGGTACTAAGTCTGTTTTTCCCCAGTGAATGTACAACTGTATGAAAACATACCTACAAGTAGGCATACAGAGTAATGGTGATGATTTTAAGTCGAGTCTTGCATCACATATAATGTACTCTAAACAACAATCTGAGTCAGACTCATTCAAAAACAACCTCACCCATTTTTAGCCCATATGGGGGCAGTTAGCTAATTTCTAATGAAAAGTGGCATAAATAATTTTAGGCTTTGCTATATTAACATGATTAGCATCTAGCAGCAGTGAGTCAACAATATTTATTAAGCACCTATAATGTGCAGGGTCCTCTGTTGACTGGACTAAGTATTTGGCCCAGTATTTTGCTCTCAGCTCATTCCAGGCTAGATTTCATACTTGTAGCTCCAGCATTAGGACGGGGAAGTGCTGTGCAGGGTAGGGGCAGAGGGCTAGGTATGTAAAGGGCTTGTCATGTTTCTTCTGTTTACTCTCAAGACTGCTAAAATTCTCATTTAGCATGTTGTACCTTGTAAGGCCACCTCCAGGAAATACTGTTGCAAATCAGTGACTTGGTTGCTTCATAAGCATATCATCTGAACAGTGCAAATTGATTTAAATGAAATTGGTTTAGTTAATCCCTTGTCTAAGAACAGGGCAACTTGCTTCAACTTGCAGAACTTAAAGTAGTGCCAGTGGAGTCTCATAATTGCATCCAAATATTGCTCTGGGTAGTGAGCCTGTCCATTCCCCCATCCCTCCTCCCATAAAATCTGCTGACATCACAGCAATTGAGAAGGAAACTATAGAAGGAATATGTCTTTATCACTCAGAAAAACTCATTGGCTTGATGAAGAGGAGAGAGTTCTGTGTGTTCATTTAGTCCCTTAGAACTCAAGTTTTCTCTTATTGAATAGTGACATAGATATGCCCTAAAAAGGGTGAAAACAGGGCTGAGGTGCAGTCTCTGTCTCAAATGGCTGTTCTTGGAAGTACCTGCTTGGTCTTGTGTGTGTCTGTCATCTAATCTTTATGGATCTCAGTAACTCCCTAGCTGTTATGCCCTGGAACTGGGCTCTTGGGTTCTGAGTCTTAGGTCCTTTGCTGCTAAGGAGCTGTAAGAGGCATAAGGGTGCTCCTTTTCCATTTAGCATTAAATTTTTGTCCTCTCTTCTGTGCAAAAGAGAAAAAATGAGGCTTTGTGTTCATGAAGTGCCTCCTTACTTAAGCTGGGTTTCTTGACTTGGAGAATTGCATCATCTAAATATGAAGTGTAACATGTTCATACTAGATATCCCATAGTTCAGGAGAGTTTGAAACGCTTCACTTTTTCGTGATTGAAAATTTGATATGAAGGTTGTATTGCACAAAGATTGATATTTCAGGTCTCTCAAAAAGCATGTGTTCTTTGCTGAGCAGTTTTAAAAAGAGACTAGAGAAGTGTTTCTCAACCAGTGTGTTAGGTCACATTAACAAGTCAGAAGATCAGACAAGTGGCATTGATACAAGAAATTCCAACTTTAGTTATCCCCCTGTGCAGATAGCCATTCCCCTTTCAGTTTCCTCTTCCTCTGATAATTGGTATTGGCATCCACTTTCATTTATTAAAAATCTTCTTAGAGTTTTTTATGGGCTCTAGAAGTTTGTGGCTCTTCCTGACTGTTACTGTTTTCATATTCCCCTTCTTTGTAACCATAGGCAGATATAATGTTTTTGTTAGTCAATCTTCCAGATTCTGTATTTTTCCTTATAAATTATATATGCTGATAAGACTACTAGATGATATAAGCTGTTTAAAGTATGAGTGATGGAGGGATTTTGAATAACGTGTCAACACCCAATCACTCCCTTCTTCATGTAGAGTTCACCTGAATACACACTAGGATGTTGGTTCAGGCTAACTGGATTGGCAAAGTATCATTTGTAAAGAGTTATCCTACTTGGGTTCTTGTCTCCTTGCAATGCTCTGACTGCCTGACCTTGGCCTTTGTTTCAGCCTCTTTCCTGCAGGTCAGCCTCTTCTGTCTCTGGAGTATCTTGAAACCAGATGATCTAATAACAAACACATTATATAATCTAAAATCCTCCAGAAATATAAAAAATCCCAGTATTTGCAATTTGTCCTGATAGGATCATAATGCAGAGGCATGGTAAACAATGTTAATTCAGGACAGTGAAATGTCTGAATATATACAGCCCAGAGGTAGAAAAATGGTTTATGGTCCAGAATCCTCTATCACTTTGTCTATAGCCCTTTGTTAAGTTGTTGCTAGGATCCATGTGGTTCCCAGGAGAATAGAAGCTTGATTTCAAGTAGGCCTCTGTTCTCTGTCCCTTGTTTCTGACCTGAACTTGGGGTCCTCACAGCCTAACATTCAACAGCAGGTCTTACATTCATATATATTGCAAAATTTATTCTGTAAAAATAGAGATGACTGGCCCATCCAGGTGGACTGCTGAACTTAAAAAAAAAAAAATCACAAATATTTCATTGGGAAACAGGCTGAGAAAAATAGTCCTGGAATAGATGAAAAGCTGTACTGATAGCAGTAGGTAAATTAAATTTGTTCTCCATTTGTTCTCCAACCTTCTAACCTTGCCAGTGTAATCTGCATTAAGATAAAGGCGTTATGATTTGTACTTAGGATTCCTGTCAATTATCATGTGTTACCTTGGCAAATCCGTTTCTTGGTTACTTAGATTAATCTTTTGCATTTGCAGCAGATTCAGGACTATTAGTTCTGCTACTTCCATATTATTTTAATGTTTATGGTGACTATATTATATAAAATACCCAATGGTTGGATTTAATTATTGAAAGGAAAATATCATTAAATCCATATACTATAAAATATTAAGTAGGCTTTAATAACCTATTAGACAGGAACTGGCTGTGGTTTTCTCTGCCAGTCAGTAATCAACCTCCAGTCCTGAGCTCTCCCTGTGTGTGGTGAGAGCTTAAGAGAACAGAGACAGTGTTTTTTCCTTGGGGGGGGGATCCTAGCCTAAAGGAGAATACATAGGAGAATAAGAAATACCACAGACCCATGCCTTCCAACAATCTTGTGGGGAAGTATGATTATCCTCCATTATGACAATCATGTGTTTGGGATGAATTTCCAAACATTTTCAGCTTGTAAAAAAATAACATGTTTTATGTGTATCCTCTATGAA